AGGAAAGCAGCTGTTGCCACCAGCTAATCCAACAGCAGATACACAAACCTCTTAGGACACAAAAATCCAAATCCTGTTTTTGAAAAAGGTAAAATTTATTAAAAACACAAAGAAAGAAAATACATCCGGAACTTAGGCTTTTGCTCGATTTGAAAAGAACAATTCCAAAAATTAAGCACCCAAAATAGATTTCTTGGGGGTTCATCTTAAAGATTACAAGCAAACAAAAGGATCTGGGGTTAGCAGAGAGGAGAGCCACAAGCCAAAATAAAGAAATAACCTGATTGCATCTAGCTAAACATTCCCTGTCCCAATGAGTCCTGCTAGGTATGGAAAATAATTTTTAATATGTTTATGTATGCAGTAACATAAAATCCCTTCTGGCCAGATGTACTGCAACCTGTAAGGGGTTAAGAAGTTCAAATAACCTGGTTGGCACTTGACCAAGAGGACCAATAAGGAAAGAAGATACTTTCAAATCTGTGGGGGAGGACGGTTTTGTCTGTGCTCTCTTTGTTTGTTCCCTCTCCGGACAGTAAAACATCTCCTGAAAACATACCTGAAATAATTCATCTAAGATTACAAAAACTGTAAGTAAGGCAAGGAAATGCATTAGATTATCTTTTGTTTTAGCTTGTGAATTGTCCCTATGCTAAGAGGTAGTTTAATTCTGTTTTGTAACTGGGAAGCAGAGTCAGAGGGGAGTCCTCTGTGTTTAAAATCTTTTTATTTACCCTGTAAAATTACCTTCCATCCTGACTTTGCCGGTGTGATTCTCTTACTTTTTTTAATAAATAAAATACTTCTTTTAAGAACCTGATTGATTTTCAGTGTCTTAAAACCCAAAGGGTTTGGTCTGTGTTCACACTGTAACCAATTGGTTAGCATATTATTCTCAAGCCTCCCCAGGAAAGGGGGTGAAGGGGCTTGGGGGAATATTTTAGGGGACTAGGGACTCCAAGTGACCCTTTCCTGCATTTTTGTGTGAATCACTTGGTGGTGTCAGCAATACCGTTCAAGGACAAGGAAAGGAATTTGTGCCTTGGGGAAGTTTTTAACTTAATCTGGTAAAATATAAACTTAGGGGGTCTTTTATGTGGGTCAGGGCTGAGGCAGGGGGTTGGAGCGCAGGGAGAGGCTGAGGGGTGCAGGTGCCGAGCAGCGCTTAACTCAAGTGGCTCCCGGAAGCAGTGGAATATCCCTTCTCCAGCTCCTAGGCAGGGGCGCAGCCAGGTGGCTCTGGATGCTGCCCCATCTGCAGGCACCGCCCCTGCAGCTCCCATTGGAGCACCGGAGAGGGCCATTGGAGCACCCCAGCTGGAGCAGGGCCAAGCTGCATGGTGTGGCGTGTGACCCAGCGCCCTGGCAGGTCTGAGACACCATGGCAAGGAGAAATTTGTGCTGCCATAGCCCATGTAGGTGGCAGCTTCTACCACTGATAATGTGACATCCTCCACTGCATGGGTGTGAACTGAGGGCCTGTAACAGTAATGTCTTGGCCCAGTGGTCAGAGCCCTGCTCTGGGACTCAGTACTGCTGGCTTCCATCCCTGACTGTGCTGCTGGGTGGCCTTGGTCAAGTCACTGCTCCGCTCTGTGCCTCTGGTTCTCCTTCTGCAAAATGGCCAAATGATGCTTTGTAAAGTGCTTTCTCTCCCCTGATGAAAGGTACTATCTCCAAGCTGGGCCAAAGGAGCAGCTCCATTAACTGGTAGTAGGTTGTTATCCCCTAGTGGCCCAGTAATGAGGCTGCTCTGCTAGCAGTTGACACTCTCCCCAGTCCTTTGTTCATTTGGATAATTCAAGATATAAGCAGAGTCAGGATGAGCTCTCCCCTAACATCTGGTGGTGAGCCCTGGAAAAGGACTTCAGGGGCTGATCTTGTTTGCATGGGCACACCCACCCTGCCTAACATGATGGGACTACTTGCCCAAATGGTCACTTTGGCTGCTGTAGGATCCCCAGTCTCTGTGTTATTGGGGAAGGAGTAATAAAGGTTGTTATCCTGGTTATGTGAATCAAGGACAGTAGAACCGTACTGGGCATTTTATGTCTGAGGGACTCACCCTCAACTAAATAGCACTGACCAGGCAAGGGATATGGGTTCCAAAGCCCAGTGAATTAGGAGAAGATTGGGAGTAGGTATTTGTACCTGGTGGTATGGGGGTCTGAAACACTACCTTGACTGGTTCTCTTTCCACTGTGTAATCATAGAGCTAATTTAGACTGAAGTAAGAGTCTTGTTACATGGAGCAGAGCTGAAATCATTGATACCTAGGTCAAAGCATTAGATCTGTTCTGGTGCAAGAAAATTATCCATGTTTACCAGCAGTGAGGCTCCCCTACTGAGAGCTGAAATCACTGAGAGCTGTGTTAAGTGCAGAGAGCCTGAAGACATATTGGTGAGTGGCTAGTGAGATGACTAGCAGAGAAGTGTGGCCAGCTGGGTGGCTAGTGGGAGAGGCATGGCCAGCTGGGTGGCTGGCGAAACGGCTGGTGGAGAGGACGGGAGCAGAACCCCACAGAGAGGAGTGGCAATTGGTGGTCGAGGGCCTGAGCAGTGGAGAGTGTGAGGTGCCTCCATACCTCCCCCCCCTTCCACCCAGGCTGGGAGGTGAACTCTGCAGATGAACTTCTGAACTCTGGGGCTGCACTGACCAAGGACAGCAACTGTGAGTTGGGTGACTTTTGGGTTGCTGGACTTAAGACCCTGAGGGGAAAAGGACATTGCCCAACTTACTTGGGGGTGGGTCTTTTGCTCTTGGTTTGTGTTATGAATCCTGTTTGTGGTGTTTCCCCAACCTAACGCTGCATTGTTTCCATCCTTTATTAAAAGGCTTTTGCTACACGCAGACTCCGTCCTAGCGAGAGGGGAAGTATTGCCTCTTAGAGGCGCCCAGGGCGGTGGTATGTATTTGTCCCAGGTCTCTGCATGGGGGCTTGAGCCAGTTTTGCATTGTGTTAGTGAAACGGAACCCCCTAGATACTGAACCCGGCCCTTGTTGCTGACAAGTCTGACGGGCAGAAGGGTTACATAAATAAAAGACAAACGGAGGGATATTCCTCAGGGGCTGCTTCAATAAAACCTACTCCCTCTTTAGGAGTATAGTTTTAGTGAAAGTCAGGACAGGTCACAGGCTTCTGTGAATTGTTGTTTATTGCCCGCGACCTGTCCGTGATTTTTACTAAAAATAGCTTTGCCTTATTCATGGTCAGAAGCTTTTGAATTTTGGTTGTGGGGTTTCCCATATTACTGCCAGGTTCCTTTCCCCTTTTTATTGAAAGTTCTCTTTGTTATACACAGACTCAGTGCTTGTGACAGGGGATGTAATTGCCTCTTAGAGGCACCTGGGGTGGTCTGAAGTTTTCCCAGATTACTGGGTGGGGGTGTGATGGGTTCGGTCACAGAGATCCCCTTGGGACTGTCACCTGATGTGCTGAAATTACCTCTGAGTCAGTTTTCCCTGCCAGCTTGGGACTCCAGAAACCGGCCTTGTTGAGCCAGACACTCTAGCCCGCTGCAACACAGACTCAGGGTCTGGGCCATGCCCCCAAAGCTGAAGACTTTAACTAATAACAGCTCAGCAGGTTACCTGTCTCCAGCACCCAGACACCGAGCTCCCAATGGGATTCAAACCTCAAATACATCTGTTTTACTCTGTATAAAGTTTACTCATGGTAAATTTGTAAATTGTTCGCCCTCTGTATCACTGATAAAGAGATATGTACAGCTGTTTGCTCCCCCAGGTGTTAATCACTTACTCTGGGTTTATTAATATTCAAAAGTGATTTTACTAAGTACAAAGAGTAGGATTTAAGTGGTTTCAAGTAATAACAGCCAGAACAAAGTAAGTCACAAAGCAAAATAAAACAAAATACGCAAGTCTAAGCCTAGGACATTAAGAAACTGATTACAGGTATCAAGTATCAGAGCGTGAGCTGTGTTAGTCTGTATCCACAAAAACAACGAGGAGTCTGGTGAAAACCTTAAAGGCTAACAGATTTATTTGGGCATAAGCTTTCAAGGGTAAAACACCCACCCACTTGCATCTGAAGAAGTGGGTTTTTTACCCAAGAAAGCTTATGCCAAATAAATCTGTTTGTCTTTAAGGTGCCACCGAACTCCTCGTTGTTTTTGACTACAGGTAATATCTCACCCTCAAAGATGTTCCAATTAGCTTCTTTCACAGACTAGAATCCTTCCTAGTCTGGGCCCAGTCCTTTCCCCTGGTACAGTCTTTGTTCCATTCAGCAGACACCTCAGGTGGTAAGTTGTGGTTTTCTCATGACTGGCACCCCGTTGTCCTGCTCCACACCCTTTATAGCTTTGGCACAAGGCGGGAATCTTTTGTCTGTCTGGGTCCCCACCCCTCCTTCTAAATGGAAAAGTACCAGGTTTAAGATGGATTCCATTACCAGGTGACATGGTCACATGTCACTGTAAGACCCCTAGTCTCCATTCCCCGTGGGCTGGCCCACACGTACACAGGAAGGCTTTCAAGTAACTAAGGCCATTTACGACTGATTGTTTCTGGAGCACCCTTAATGGCCTCCACTTAACGTTTTTCATCAGTGATACAAGTTTATATCTTATTCTCCTAACTCCAGATATAGAAATAAAACATGCAAACAAATAGGATGAACACACTTAGTAGATTACAAGCTTTCTAAAGACACCCTACAAGGGGTATTTAGCGTAAAGCATATTCCAGTTATGTCATATTCATAAGCATATTTCCATAAAGCGTACGGAGTGCAACATCACAGGGGGCTCCAGCTGGTTCTGTTTTGTATTGGAACTGCTAGGTATTGAACCCGGCCCTGGTTGTTGCCGCCTCCACCTGGCAGAAGGGTTACTCCTGGCAAGAAAAGCAGGACAATGACAATAGGTTCCAAGGCCACGGAGAGTGGAATGTGCAAACTGGCGGGTTGTCTCTGGGAGGCGACACACAAAGCCCCTGGATCCTGACCCACAGGGATAATGGAGCCAAGGGAAATTCTTCACGGTGCTGACTGCTCATTGGGGATGGTTCGTCTGCACTGACAAGGTTTCAGTCCCAGGGACAATCTGATATATTCAGATCATTACACTGCGAGAGCCAATGCCTGCCTCGTCCACAGTGAGTGACCCCTGGAGCTCTCAGGAGAGCCACGGGAAGGAAATGCGGAGGGGCCAGGACAGGGCATTCTGTTCTGGTGCCTAAGACATCTAGGATAGTCCTCGATAGTGACCGACTCACTTACACTTCCAGTGACTTTCCCAGCTGGCTCATAACCAATCCTGAGTCATTCGGGGGGCAAAGCACCTTTACAGCAGGAATGAGACCCAGCTAGAGATGACTGTTTCACAGGCTGATATTGGAACAGAGCAGAGGACCTCTTACCGTCTTGGTGCTGGTGGTGGGGACAGCAGACATGGATAGATCGGATGTCTGAGATTTCGTGCTGGACGTTCGGAATCCCTTGATCCATCTCCTGTACTCCTCTCTCACCTGGAGAGTGAGGGACACGGTCACTGCACTATGTAACTAACTCTGAGGAGATCAGACATGGCCACCGCGAGGCTGCTGAAGGCGCTGGGTGGGCACTGACGGGCCGTGGGCATTACCTGCCGATTGAGGAGACAGTGCACCAGGAAGATGAAGGGTCCCTGCAGGCTGCTGACGATGGTGAATAAATACGCCATGACCATGCCTGTTGGTCCTACTTGGAGGAGACCAAGGCTCCATGTGCAGCCCAGAATGAAGAGCTGGGCAATGGCTTTAAAGGTCAGTAACCTGGATAAAGGCAGATGGAGAGATCCCGTTACAATAACCCTATGGAGAGCAATTGGGTCAGGAGGATCTGGACAGAGTCGGGTACAACTACCGGCCCCAGCTTTCCTATGTGGAACAGGGTTACTGTCAAAGCAAACACTGTGGGAATTTGTTCCCATGGATCCTAGATATGCTGTTCCCATCCTTCAATCCCTCCCTCCCTCCCAGTGCCAAGGACCCTCCAAACCAAGGCATCTGACCCTCCAGGATTGTTTTGTTGCCTTCTCACCTGTGGTCTCTGAGGGTGGACACATCTGCATTGAGGGAGGAGAGTCTGTTTCTCAGGATCCGCAGGGTAAGGGCAAAGAACGTTATATTTATCTGTGGGAACAGTGGGAAATATTTCCTGTAAAACATCCCATCTGGGGCTGGTGACTCCAGCTGAGGCAGAGAACTATCCCAGGGGACCGAGCCTAACATTGCAGAAATGGGGACTACTCATTTCTGGTGGGAATCATCCCCTCTCCTGTGGGAATCATCCCCTCTCCTGGCAGCTCTCGGTCCCTCCCCATGCGTGGAGCTGACAGCACAGCCAGGGCTGAGATGGATCAATGGGATCTCAGAGGCCAGATGCTGCTCAGAGTTCAATATGGAGCCTCTCCAGTGGAGTCAGGAGTTATTTTGGGTTTACACTGGTGTAACTGAGAGCAGGATCTGGCTCAGAGACTCCAGATCCTGCCTCGAGAATACTTCCTGCCATTTTCAGGCTGTAACAAATTCCCCTCCCTGCAACTTCCCCAGGGGTTATGGGGGAATATGTTGGGACATTTGTTTCCCTCCCTACAACAACCACTGCAGAGTGTAGCCCTCTCCTTTCCTCGTTCCTTGGGTCATTAACTAGACTAGATCACACTCTTGCTGTCTTCACTTGGCAAAACTCCTACTGACTTCCATGGGAGCTGTGCCCGAATAAAGGCTGTAGGCCTGGGGATACAGCTCAGGGACTAATCCCGGGACTAACCACAGCAGACGAGCCAGGCGGGACCTAACTGCGTCTTTCCTTGTGTTTTATGGGCCACATTCTACTACCTGCTTCACTGAAATCAATGGGGTCACAGAGGTGAGAGGAGAATGGGGCCCTGTGGTTCTGTGAGGTACCCACCAGGATTATGGCACAGACTGGACCCAGGAAGCTCCAATGAAAGCCTCTGTCCTGGCTGAGCCAGCAGCTGCAGGCAGGGAGGAAGAAGAAGGTGACTTTAACGGGATTACTACCCTTTTTCAGCACCGGGGTAGAGAGGGGGTGTCACAGGGCAGCTGGCTCTCAAAAGCGAGATGGATCTTGGCCTGCCTGTGACATGGCCTACTCTCTTGCGGGCAGCAGGCTAATGACCCTCCCCACCTACCTCAGGAAGTGGAGCTACCCTGAAAACACGAGATGAGGATCTAGACTGGGGTGTCGAGAACACGCCACACCCTGTTTTAGTGGAGTCGCTCACTTTAGAGAGGGGATCCTCAGGGATTGCACACAGTAAGAAGGTGTGTTTGTTTCCTACCCACCAGCCCCACAAACCCAGCCTGGGACCTGGGAGTCAAGCTGGGATCTTTCTGGCTTGTTCTTCTGCATCATCAGTGGGGCGAGGAGTGTAGATGTCTGACAGGTGGGCAACTCAACTACAGCACTCGGGGCAGCTAGTGTCCCTGGGGATGGGGAGGGTCCCAGGGGGACAGTCAGCTGCCAGGCAGGGTGAGCAGGGAAATCTCGGTTCAAGTCAGACCTGGGGTGAGCCGGACAACCGCATGGAAGCCACATCCCAGCTCCCCTTCGGGATGGGCTCTGCACGTACTATTTGGCAGTTCCGTAGCCTCCAGGATTCACCGCTGCAGAAATAGCCACCACCAGGGCTGGGACTCCGTAGCCGAACGGGTACGTGAATCTCTTCTTGAACCGGCTGGCGCTGGTATAGTTCACGACCTGCAGGTTCCGGACGGTGAGGAAGAGGTGCAGCCCCTCCAGGAACATCCAGGTGAAGCAGGCCAGGAAGAGGTAGTGTAGGAAGCCAGCTATGACAGCACACGCCACCTGGGGAAGACAGAGAGCCCAGCGACACTGCAGTGGGGAAGGGAAATGCTGAGTATGGGGAAGACCTGCGCGGGGGGGCGGGGGGGGTTACACCGGGATTCTTGTTAGCACAGTTCTTCAGTTACAGTGCTCCGTGACCCAGAGACGGCAGGTTCCTCGGTCTATGGAGGGTCCTGCGGGTGCACATTGCTGGTGCAGGAAGGGAGCAGAGATTAGTGGTTAGAGCAGGGGATCAGGGCTCAGGGGATCCAGGTTCTGCTCCCAGCCCTGCCACAGAGTCCCTGGGTGACCATGGGAAGTCACGTAGGAGAGGAATCGATGCAAAGGGACACTCTGATATACGGATAGAACTGGCTGAACTCCAGAGACTGGGGACACTCAGACCACTGTGCCCAGTGTGAAGGGGCCTAATGGGGTGGAAACACCCCCCCACCTGGAATTCCCCCTCTGTCCTGCACAGCCCAGAATCCAGGGAGCATAAAGGGGTTGAAAGCCACACACCCCAGCTCTGCAGCGAGTGGAGGAATCAGGCCGCACCCAGCTGCCGGTGCGGGTCAGCGCGATAAGGAAGAGCAGGTCGGCCAGGAAGAGGCAGAGGCAGAGCTGCAGGTGGAAGGAGGTGCTGACGTTGCGGATGGAGCGGCAAAGGAGGAAGGTGAGGATGGCGAGGAGGAGGCACAGCAGGGAGAAGGTCAGTCCCACGTAGGTGACGACGGTCAGTGGATAACTCTCCTGTAACACAGCAAAGGGAGAATCACCAGTGACCCCAGCCCAGCCCCTCGGCTCCGACTCAGCCTTTCCCCCAGCAAAGCCTCCAGTCGCTCCAGGGAGAGCTTTGCCCATGGCTAAGCGCAGAGCTCAGGCTCCAGCCCTGTGATCCGAGTCTCACGGTGAGATACCGTCACTGTGGTGGGAGCCATTAGGACGGCGAAGCTGGAGAGATGGTCACAGCGGCAGGTGGTGTGAGTGCTGTTCGTGTGCACGGCGGTGCAGCCGTCCGGAGACCAGCTTCCGCTCTCGGCCACTACTTTCCAGTAGACGCAGAGAGCCTCTTCCTCCCGTTTTTTGTCCTGGAAACACAACAGAATCATCCTCGTCCTCACGGGACCACAGAACATCATTTGTGTTATCACATGTCTACAGCAAACCCGAGGCCACCTACAGCTCCACGGCTCTCCCCACGCAGCCCCAGCGCCCACTGGGGCCATCCCGGTGACAGCCGAGAGAGAACGCAGGTCCTGCTGCTCCAAACGCACAGGCCCTGCTGTTGGAGCGAACGGGAAATAAATCCTTGCCAGCCGTGAGCACTAAACGGAACGTGGCCATTGGCTGAGGACTTCTGACTGCAGCCAGCAGGGGGCAGTGCTGTGTGCACACAAACACATATGCACCCTAACCACTGCATCACCGCATCACAGTGTTTCATGCTGATTTCCTGAACTCCACTATCTGTAGAAAGCGGCTGTCCAGTTATTCCGGCTCAGGGGTGAGCTAAGCGGAGCTGTTACCCTAGAGCACTTTGCACGGCCGTGTGTCGTGGTGCGACCCCTATTCTCCTCCTCTAGTCAAACAGCCCCATCGCGTCCGGATTAAGGAGGCCTCTGCTTCTTAGGACCATCGGGAGCCAGAAAGGCAGCACGGTCCAAATGCCAGACAGGAGATTGTGCCTTGTATATGCCCCTCTAGAGGCCCAGATATGGAGTAAAGCGAGGGGATCTTCCTCCACGCACCTGGCTGTGGCGCAGGGTGAAGTTTGCGGGTCTGGAGAGGTTAATGGGTCTCCCGTCTCCGACGGCCCCGCTCACCACCCTGGAGTTGAGATGACTCTTCTCCAGCTTCCCACAAGCCGGTAGATTTCCCTCGCTGAGATGTCTCGCACTGATGATGGAGTCCAGGGTGGAGTAGGAAATAAAAGCAGCAGCCCCCAAACCTGCTGGGAGAGGAGATGATCCCTCGTTAGGGAGCTGGAGACGTTATGGCGAAGAATGAGCCGGCCAGGTGCACAGGGCTCACAGTGAGTCTGTGGCAGATCTGGGAATGGAACCCAGGATCCTGGCCACAACTCAAGATTTACCCACTGGACCATGCTACCTCCTCCCTCGGGGCCTCCAGGAGCACGTCCGGCTGGAAACATCTAGCTGCAGGATGCAGAGATGAAGATAAGAAAGGAGTACTTAAGGTGCCACAAGTACTCCTTTTCTTTTTGCGAATACAGACTAACACAGCTGTTACTCTGAAACCTGAGATGAAGATAGTTTTTCTCAGTGAGAGCAGGAGAGGGGCTGGCCAGGGATGAGCTTCCCCTGGTGCTGGATCATTCAGGGCCCTGAATATGGCTGCTGAGGGTAGGGGTACACATTACCCTAGTTCCCCATATCTCCGTTTGGGAGTCTAGCTAGACTAGGGCATCCCTGCCCTTTCCATTCGCTGGGCCCACTTCATACCAGAGCCCCTCTCATAAGCCGTCTCCCCTCTGTGCCCCCAACTGCTCACTGCTTGGGGCTCAAGCTGTGGGACGGCCAGGAAGGAAGGTGTCAGCTCCATGGCCCACAGCCTGAGAACCACTGGTCAGTCAGCAAGGAGAACTCCAGGGCTGGAGACAGAGGCCAGGGCCCGGCCTGGGGATCCATGGGGAGGGAGGGAGGAACGGGGGAACCCAGACTGGGGTTCATTGCCCGGGAACTGCTCTGTGCCGTGGTTTGGGCCGTGGGTGTCACCATGCCCAGGATGGTACCGTGTGTGGCTGCCCCGGTGACTGTATCACAGTGCACTCCCATCGTGTCGTTGTGAGCTCTCAGCGTGAAGACCTCGCTGTCCCGGCTGCAGTCCCCAGTGACGAGCTGCGTCTGGATAGCTGTGGGGGGTGGGGGTGAGGAATGACAGAGCCCCTCGCTGTGAAACCCCTTCACTGGGAATCTGTCCATTCTGGGCCAGACCCTTCCCCCTCCCCCTCCACTTGGAGCTGGGGGGCTTCAGGGCTCTTCCTCACTGTGGGAGGGGGAAGTTTGGAGCCCCCCCATGAGTTCCATTGATCACCCCCCCATATCCCCTCCCCCCATTCTGGCTGTGTCTCCCGGGGGAGTAGTGGGGGTGGAGGTAGGTGCCTGGCTCAGCGTGGCGGCCCCTCGTGGTGGAATGCCAAATATTACATTTCAACCCTTCTCGGGCATTGCTGTTACTGGGGGGGCTGGGTTCTATTTCCTGGTGCAGGGGAAGTGCTGTTCTCTGTCTGTACTGAACACAGGCTCACATCCACAGCGGTATACAGGCGCTAACTTCCAGTGGATCTGGGGCACAGTGTACAACCCCGTGTCTCACAGCAGCCAGCAGGTGGCGCTGAGAGCCACACGTCCCCCCTCACCCAGAGACTCTGTCGTCACGTTCTGTGTTGTCCTCTCCGGGGACCGGAGCGCAGCGGCCAGTGCGGCCAGTTCCACGCTCTGCAGCAGGACCGTCACGGCCCACCCCACCTCCTGCTTGTCTCTGACCTCCCAGAGGGAGGCGCTGTTCAGGAGGGAGTTGAAAGAGCGAGTCGTGTTCTGGGGACAGGAAAGGAAAAGCCCTGAGAGCAAGAAGTCTGGGGGTTGAGGTGCCATGTCCCATGTGTTCCCAGGGGGCATCGGGCATCACAGCCTCTCCCAGTTTCGGGGGCTGCAGTACTCTCAGAAGGGGAGCCCTTTACAAAGGGGGTCCACTGAGGCTGACTCGGGGCCCCACTGGGACCTGAGGCCAACTGGGGCTAGAACCCTTTGTCGTTCCTTCTTCGCTCCTCTCCCCCATCCCTCCATTACAGATGCCAGGGAACAACATTGTCACAAGCCGATGGCTTCCTAGGCTGTCTCTATGCTGCATCCAGCAGCTGCTCAGAAATGTCTGGCAGGGCAGGATAGAGCCCAGATCCTGCTGCCTGAAAAACTCAGGTCATGACAGATGAGCTGAAGGAGGATCCCCATTAAGCGTTAGCAGTATAGCACCTCTGATCAACAACAACAGGTCTGAACACTAGAGGGCGCATGTGGGTGGACAAACACAAACGTGCTCTCACCCCCCTGGAGGGCATGTACACGCAGACACAGACAAACACCACTAGAGGGTGCACCCCCCGCCCCACAGCCGTGGAGGGCACAGGTCTTTTCTGAAGAGGATCTACATGTCTCCCCGCCCCCCAGTGAGACTCCTAACCCGGCACAGCAGCACGCAGGGCTCTGGGGCACACTCAGGGGCAGTAGCCCGCAGAGCACATTCAAGGGACGGAGCCTCTCACCTCCAGTGATAACGTCGCACTCCCGTCTCCACACGTGGACGTCAGAATCTCTAAGGTCGAATTAAAGAAATTGCAACAACTGCTGTTTCCGCTGCTCCGCTTTACCTGCAGAGAGACCCAGGGCAGGGGGTGAGCTCTGCAGGGGCTGAAAGGCGACCGACGTTGGTGTTTGCCTTATGCAGGGGCCTGATCCTGACACCCCTCATTGAGTGAATAAAGCTTTTATATCAGACGTGTCCAGGGCATACACGATGGTGCTGTTGCTACAGCAAGAGGTTCATGTGGAACAATTTCTAGTAACAGCTGGAATACATCAAGCCTTGGGACTAAGCTCCTTTATGTTCACGTCGGTGCTGGATGCATTGACAGAAAGCAGCCAGAGAGTCGTCTCCTGGGACGTGCCATTTGCAGATGATGTAGTGCTCGTGGGGGAGAGGAAAGAGGAAGTGAAAGATGATGCAGAGAGACATGGAGGTGCATATTGGAAAGAAACGGCATGAAAATCAGCAGAAGAAATCCGAGTATATGGTCTGTAGATTCAGTGCTCTCTGCAGGAAGACAATGGGTGTGTAAGTCTGGGGACCAGCCACTAGGAAAGCTACAGAAGTTTTAAAAGGTCCGATATCAATTTGCAACCCCCTAGAAGATAATAAGGTGATAAGTAACAGTCAGCATGGATTTGTCAAGAACAAATCTTGTCAAATCAACCTGATAGCTTTCTTTGGCAGGGTAACAAGCCTTGTGGATAGGGGGGAAGTGGTAGACATGGTATATCTTGACTTTAGTAAGGCTTTTGACACTGTCTCACGGGACCTCATAAACAAACTAGGGAAAGACAACCTATATGGAGTCACTCTAAGGTAGGTGCATAACTAGTTGGAAAACTGTTCCCAGAGAAAAGAACAGGAGTACTTGTGGCACCTTAGAGATGAACAAATTTATCTGAGCATAAGCTTTCGGGAATTACAGCTCACTTCACGAAAGCTTATGCTCAAATAAATTTGTTCGTCTCTAAGGTGCCACAAGTCCCCCTTTTCTTTTTGTGGATACAGACTAACATGGCTGCTACTCTGAAACCTGTTCCCAAAGAGGAGTTATCAGTGGTTCACAGTCAAGCTGGAAGGGCATATTGAGTGGGATCAGTTCTGGGTCCGGTTCTGTTCAATATCTTCATCGATGATTTAGATAATGGCATACAGAGTACACTTATAAAGTTTGTGGATGATACCACGCTGGGAGGGGTGCAAGTGCTTTGGAGGATAGGATTAAAATTCAAAATGATCTGGACAAACTGGAGAAATGGTCTGAAGTAAATAGGATGAAATTCTACAAGGACAAATGCAAAGTATTCCATTTGGAAAGGAACAATCAGTTGCATACACACAAAATGGGAAATGACTGCCTAGGAAGGAGTACTGCGGAAAGGGATCTGGAGGTCATAATGGATCAGAAGCTAAATATGAGTCAACAGGGTAATGCTGTTGCAAAAAAAGTGAACCTGATTCTGGGATGTATTAGCAGGAGCGTTGTAAGCAAGACACGAGCAGTAATTCTTCCGCTCTACTAGTGGGATGAGGAGGATCGAGTCCCAGCGATGAAAGGAACAAACACAGCATTGCCCTGATCTTGGATGGGCTTTACAGGGGTCACCGTAATACCAAGAGCAAAGGGTTTTGTCTGGGAATTTCCATATTGGTGGTACAAAACACAGGGCAAAATCCCCAACAAATGAATGATGGGTTCAAATGTACCTGCAGAGAGAAGTTCCTGCATGTCTCTTTGATTCCCTCGAACTCAGCACTGGAGTTCATGCTGGGGACTTGGAGTTCTGGGTAGAGAGGAGCAGACGTTAAAGCTTTCATATCAGATGTTCATGTCAACTCACTCCTGCCTGGGGAAAAATCCCCTTCTCTTCCCAGCCCCGATGGCTGCTCTCTGTCCACATGCCAGTCCCGCACTGCCAATAGTTTAACATGCAGCTCCCTCCCTTCGTCCCCGTCTCACAATGTCTCTCTCTACGTTCCATTTACACTCCGCTTTGGCTGTCCCTCCTGCTCCTGTCTCTGAGACTTCTTGACGTGTTTCCATCGACTCTGCAGAGAGACCTGCTGGGTAGAGACGCCTCTTCCCGCTGGGGAGAACCCACCTTCACCCATGCCTTAGCCCCGCTGCACTGCTGCCTCGGAGCCACCCGAGGTAGGCGCCACCTGAGCCCCCTCCCGCACCCAAACTCCCTCCCAGGTCTGCATCCCGCAACCCCCTCCGGCACCCCCGCCCCCTGCCACAGCCCTGTGCCCCCTCCCGGAGCCAACACCTCCTCCCAGACCTTGCACCCCTCACCCCCACCTGCACCCCAGCCCCCTGCCCCAGCCCTGAGCCCCCCCGCCCCCTGGAGCCCACATCCCCTCCCACAGCCTGCACCCCACACCCGCACCTGCACCCCAGCGCCCTTCCCCAGGTTCAGCCCTGAGCCTGCACCCCCTCCCACACCCCAACCCCCTGTCCCAGCCTGGTGAAAGTGAGTGAGGGTGGGAGAGAGTGAGCGAGGGAGCGAGAGGGATGGAGTGAGTGGGGCGGGGCCTCGGAGAAGGGGCGGGGAAGGGAGTTTGGGTTTGTGTGATTAGACAGTTGGCAACCCTAGGGAAGAGACACCTGGCCCCTGGCAGCCCTGCTCACCCCCTCCCCGGCCAGGCCCCTGCTCCGCGCCCAGAGCCAGACATGGGCACGCCGGTGGCTGTGGCTCTGAGACAACCGGAAAGACCCCAGTGGACGGACAGGCTGGGCTGGGCGGAGGTGAGGGCCTGGAGGCTGAGCCCTCCCCTGCTAGGGCTGAGACCCAGAGGGACCCTGTCCGTGGGGGGCAGGGGGGCTGGTGCACCAATCCAGACCAGTTCCCAGCTCGCTGCCCCCTTGGACAAGACCTCTGCCTGTGTAACCCCAGGCCCTGCCCAGCCCCCCCAGTTGCCCCCTCCATGTCCCCAGCGGCAGGACCCACCTTGGCACAGGGTCGTGTTCCTGTTAGAGGGGACGTAGCCGGCCCGGCACTCACACCGGTAGCTCCCTATAGTGTTGATACACGTGGCATTGGGGCCGCAGATATCTGGGATCGTGCGGCACTCGTCGATGTCTGAGAGGGGAAAGCGGGGGGGTGGTGTCACACACAGCACGGCTGGGGGCGCACTGGGGGCAAATGACTGTGGAGTCACCCCCCCCACCGATTGCAGGGGGCGTGGTCTGTCAGTCAGTCTGTCCGCTCCATCTAACCCCCCCTTCTATTCTCCTTTCTTCCCTGCTATTTGCAGGGCCCCAATCCCTGCAGCTCAACCCCTCCCTCACCTCCAGACCGGGGGGCCCAACCTTTGCCAGACCAGGACCCTGCAATCTCCTCCCTGCACCAGCCCTGAGAGAGCGGGGTTAAGGCGGGGGGCCGATCAGCCAGTTAAGCTGCAAAGGGGAAGCGACTTCGGCTGCGTGCAGGGCGCTAGCTAGAAGGAAGCTCGCCTCGGAGGGGGGGCTTCTATATAGCCCGAGGGCTGGGCCCAGTGGTGGGGGCCTGAGGCAAGGGGGGCTAGGAAGCCCCGAGGAGGGCTAGGAGCCCCAGTGAAAGGGTTTCGCTGGCAGGCATAGGCTCCCCCAGCACAGGGATCACAGCGTGACCTGGCCGGACGGCCAAGACATGTGGCAGCCGCGACTCCAAGAGAAGAAAGGGGGAGCTGGAGCTAGTCACCATAAGGGGGCGCCACGCTCAGCGTTACAGACTCCAACCCAATGGCTCCCCTCCTGGTTTGGGATACACCCAGCACCGCCCCTCCCATGGAGCACTAGGAGAAGGGTGGGTGGGCTGCGCTCAGGGGCGTGCAGGGGAATTGGGTGGTGTCCCTTTTATCTAGTTTCTTTGCTCTCTGGTGGTGCTCACGGGGGTCTATGGCAGAAGCCCGCAGACCCCCCACATTTGGGCAGGCCCTGCACGGCTGGTAAAGGGTTTCTTTGGAAGCCAGCTGGATCCAGGGGATCCCCCTATTCCTAACATTGTGCAGTGAGCAGCGGCCTGACAATGTCCATTCCCGGACCCTGCTGTGACCCCCAGGCCCAGGACCCTGCGGGGCAAATCCACCGAGCCCTCGGACGGATGATGCCAGCTCGACACTCGCTGCCGATCCGGCCTGTGGAAACTGAAGCCAGAGGAGACCTGCCCAGCCTGACCCCCAGCATAGCCGCAGCCGGAGTCGCCACCCAGCGGTTCACCGATCCGATCCCAAATGGAGGGGACATTACTGCCCTCGCTGGTCCTGGGGCCTTTCACAACTGTGGAGAGTCTGATCCGACAGACGGGCCCTGCCCTGCTCGGGCGCAGAGAGCCCTGCCGTGATCTAGCCAAACGCTGGAGGGCCGTGCGCCCGCCAGGCTGCCAACGCGGGTAGCGCCAGCTGCCGGGCAAAGGGGGATACACAGGGGATGTCAGGGCTCCGTGGTGCAGTGGGGTCACTCACCCCGTGCAGGGAGCAGGGTTTTCTACCTGGGGACCCAGCTTCTACGTGCAGAGACGCACTCATTCTGGCTGCTAAACTCTCCCTGATATTTATTCATAACGCTTTTGCTTCTCACAGAAATCCTTGTGGCTAAAATCCCCTTCACCAGGACATCAGCAAAGAAGTCAATCAGCGGGGAGAGTCAAGAGTGCTCACGGATCCTTCCCTTGGGCCGTGTTCCAGCAGCTCCTTCTCAGACTCCCCTTCTCTCTCTTTCCCGTGACAGTGTTTTGCTATTTCCCGCTATGCCTCTTCCCCTGGGTCGTTATTTGCAGAAAGGCAGCACCCAGAGTGCTTCACACACACTGCCATAAAGAGCTTCTAGTCTAAATAGACAAGAAGTGGGAGAGAAAACTGAGGCACAGAATTGCCCAAGGACACCTAGCAGTAACAGAGCTGGGACTAGAACCCAAGTCTCCTGAGTCCCAGTCTCATACCCTACCCACTAGATCTGTCTCTTTCAGCTTATTTCCAGAAAATAAGGCTGAAAGAGACCCTCCATGGAAGGCCAAGAATGTGTCTCCCCTGCCTCGCCATGCAGATTCTACCCTCTGCCCGCCCCCCCCCCCCCGCCTCCACTGAGAGGAGCTTTGTGTCTCCTGGCTCATGGCTGGGAGTGTATCAGGGCTGGAAAAAATCCCTTGTTCCTTTGGCAGGAAACTCAACTTTTGCTCCATTGTTAAACCTCTTGGAAGGCAACAGGCCTACGCCATGCCTGTGAGGGGGCTTGTATGTGCCAGCCTCTAGTGACGGCCGCTGAGCCCTGGAACAAGGAGAGAGCAAGTTTGTCCTGCTCTAGTGGCTGGTTCGCATAAGTAGTGTGATGGGGCAAGGCCAGATGGCTATAGAAAAGTAGTGGGAGATAGATATGTTAGCTCCAGGCTAAACAAATATCTGGTACCAGGATAGTGAAATGGCAGCTGCTCCAGGTCAATTAAGACATCTGGGGCCAATTAAGAACTTTCCAGAAGGCAGGGAGAAGGCTAGATTGATTGGGACACCTGAAGCCAATCAGGAGCTGGCTGAAACTAGTTAAAAGCCTCCCAGTTAGTCAGGTGGGGGTGCCTGTCAGGAGCTGTGGGAGAAAGTTGTGCTGTTGGAAAGGCAGAGTAGTACACACCATCTCAGGCACAAGGAAGGAGGCCCTGAGGTAAGGGTGAAGTGGAGCTTGAGGAAGTGAGGGCTGCTGTTGGGAAGTAGCCCAGGGAATTGTACTTGTCATGTTTGTAAAAGGTCAGCTACCATAGCTGATACTATTAGGGTCCCTGGGCTGGAGCCCGGAGTAGAGGGTGGGCCCGGGCTCCCCACCCCACCTTTGCCCCCTGATTAATCACTGAGACTGGGAGACAAGAGACCGTGCAAGAAAGGATAACTTCTCCTCACCTCCCTCGCTGGCTTATGATGAAAATGGCTCAGTAGACTGTGACCCTTGTCTCTAGAGAGAGAAGGGTTATGTGGAGGGTCACGGTGAGCCTCTGAGGCTAGTGAAATCCACCAGGAAATGCGGGACCCACGGAGGCAAGGACAGAGCTCTATCATGGTAGATAACAACCTGCTACAATGACTAGCTAATGGAGTTACTCCCTTAGCTCCAGCAGCTGCGCTGTGTGCTTTCAGCAGACAAGTCCTGGGTTTGATTCCTGCTAATGACTCAAGCTGGTTCCTTGGTGATGCCAGCTCCTTCCCCAGCCTTAGCAGCTGCTGAGGGTTAGGTTAATGGGGTTCCAGAAATTAATGGGCTTTCTCAGCCCAAGCTCTATTAAAGGTTGTCCAACATAGAGTCCTCGGCTCCGTCTCAGCCCAGTTTGCTTTGCAAAGACCTGACCTTCCCCTCTTCAAAGTTCTGCTATGAAAGAGCATCTTGGGCTCTGATTGCAGCTGCAGGTTTGGGGGGATGTTGCAGCTTCTAATGACGTCCCCAATGCCTTACGCTCGAGCCGTGGCGGAATTAAGCAGCATGGCAAGAGACATGGCGACCTTCAGTCCCTGGGCTCAGTTTCCAATTGTAAGACAGGCTGGGAGTCAGAACAGACACTTTGCCCGGGTGTGGCGCAGAGAAAGAGCGAGACCTCAGGGCAACCTGGTTAATTTCACCCTCCATGTGTGCGGGTTAGTTTCAGAGGTCCTGGGTAAGCTCAGTGGCCGTGCATTAACAGCATCGCCAACGCCAAGCAATCAAGAAAAGCCCCAAACCCTGAGCCAGGCTGTAAAAAGTCACGAGATTGTTTTAAAAAATCATGAGATTTTAAAAAAAAAAAAAAAATCCATTTTGGCTTCGTTTTGTTTGACTCTGGTTTGGGAGCTGTCAGTCACCCCAGCGTAACGTTTGGCAGGTTTTCGTCCCCCATGTGGGCCACGCCCTAATTTTGATTTTAGCCAAAAATGGAATCACATGACTCCAGGAGGTGGGGCTTTAGGGCAACGCCACGCATTAGCAACACTGCAGAAAAGCCAGAAACTTCATGCCTTTGCCATGACTGTTTCCAGCTCCCGTTCTACCTGTGCAGATCTTAGACGAATCCCTTTGACTCTTCCCAAATCCCCAACTGCATTTACACCTGTAACTCCCTGGCATGTTGATGCAGTTCCCGTGGGGCTCACAGACTGTGGCGTTTCGCTGGCACTCGTCAATGTCTGCAAGGAGAGAGAAAGCGCTAGGTCAGGCTGATCTAGGAGCTGTACCTTGGGCACTGGGGTGACACTGCTGGGGGATAATCCAGCCGTCCGAAATGCACCGTGCTCTGGGGAGACGGGGCTGGTTAGAGCCAGGAGTTCAGTTACTGGGTCAGCGAACGGGAGCAAGTTGGCTATTGTCCGGAATGAGCTGCTTCAGCTGAGAAGGGAAAAGCAGCCCTGCCAGGACACGTGCCTGCTGCTTGCTAAAGCTATCAAGCGGATCTGGCGATGCCCAGTGCCACAATATCAGTGCAGATGGCAATGCCTGAATGAGCCGTCCGCCCCTGGAAGGGACAAATGGGGAGCTGCTTTGGGGAAGGGGATAGAGAACAACATGAGGGCTAGTCTAATGCCTTGATATCAGTCAATGGGGTGACCCCCTCTGCAACCCATGAGCTGCCCTGGGCACCCCCTTGCACAAAGGACAGTGCAGAACCAGAGGGGGTTCAGGGACAGGCAATGAGAATGATCAGGGGCCTGGAAAAGCCCTCTACAGAGAGAGATTGAAAAGATGGACTGCCAGTTTAGAGTGAACGTAAGCGGGGACGTGCTAAGAGTCTCTACGTGACTGACGGGGATAGAGAAGGGAGATGGGGAGCTTCTGTTCTCCCCATCTCATAACACGAGAGCAGGGGCCAGTCAGGGAAGTTAGAAGAGGGGAAATTCGAAACTGAGCCAAGGAAAGGCTGTTCCGCGCCATGTGCGATTAGCCTGTGGAACTCCTCACCACAGGAGTCACTGCGGCCAAGACTTGAGAACGATTCAAGGAGCGACTGGACGTTCATACGGATGATGAGAACAGCCGGAGTGATCAGAGTTAAAGGGCACAAATGTTTGGGAAGAGAGAGAACCTCCTGCTGTGGGCTTCAGCCCACCTGAGTATTAGAGACCAGGAAGTGAGGGCAGACTATCCCCCGGCTGCCACTGCAGGGCTCTTCCACCGTCCTCGGCAGCATCTGGCTTTGGCCCCTGGGAGCCAGGATACCAGGCTAGATGGGCCTCAGCTCTGATCCCGTCTGTACTGTGCAAGTACCAGCATTACTTATGTCTCAGCCTGGCCGGCGCCTCCGTTTCGCCTCTTCAGAGGCTGAGCTGCTCCTGGGGCAGACTGAACCCTGGGAGAACCGACCGGCTGCGTCCTGCCCAGTTCTGCCTCCTCTGCCCCTCGACCCTGCGACCGCTCGCGGGTTCTCCTGAACGCACCAAGGCGGCGCCGCGTTTCCAGAGCCCTGCTTTACTCCGGGAACAACGTAGGATCGGGTTCCGCCCCCGAAGGCTTCCAAGAGTCCACGCGGGATGGGAACGGAGCTTCCAACATCCTTATCCCGCCCGTCCTGGTTCGATCGGGATGTTTATAGCGGGTAGCGCCGCAGCCAGGGCACCGTACACACATCCAGCCACAGCCGCTGCTCCAACGCGCTTTCCCCCTGCTCCAACGCTCTGTCTGCTGAAGACGGCGCCATGCGCTGGGTTCTTGGTGGGGTGGCCAGAGCTCTCCCCTCCCTCAGGCACACGGGTGTCCCGAGGCTTCCAAACTCGCTCCGAGTTGCAGGGAGCTGAGATCGGGTGTCTCCAGGGGCTTCAGTACACGGGGAAATTGACGGTAACAGCTCCTGTGGAATAGCTCCCCATCCGGACACTCTGGTCTGGAATAATCAGTGCACTTCCAAAGAGAACAGCGATCGCAATCGATTCCCCCCAGGGGCAAGCCCTAGGGATTCTCCCCACGGCTCCCGATACCAGCTATCCCCGGACAATCCCCGGGACGCTGGCTGAGATAACTGCGGCACTGACTTCTTTTTGTGCCTCGACCCGCCCCAGGACACTGGCTGGGGTTATCCCCTGCGGGCTGGGGCTGGGCGCAGGAACGGCTGGGCGAGGTCTCTGCCAGGGGAAGCGTTTGAACGAATGGGCTCCTGAGTTCTCCCAGTTCTACGGGCCCGGGGCTCTGCACCCCCCAAACGGGGGTGTAAAGGGCAGTTCCCATGGGAATGGCCGGCTGGGACTTGGTACAAGCTCTAACTACCAGCTGAATGTCGCAAACGAGGGCTTGGAACCCCCTGGCCCCTTCTCCGGTCAGGACACCCTGGCTGCCTAAGGTTGCATAATGGCCCCCTTAGGAAACACCCTCCCATCCAGGGGGCTCCCTGTCAGTGTGGAGCTGGAAAAGGCTCTGCTCCCAGCCGTGAGCGAGGGGGCAGATTGGGGGCGTGGCCGGGGTGTCCTGCGCTGGGGCTATTCCCTGCTCCCCAGGGCCCATAGGGGCAGAGCGCACTGGGCTGTGTGTGCACCATACAGGAGGCCCCTTCCCAGGCTCAGGGGGCTCCAGGAGCCTGGATTCTCTGTGCTGGGGACAGCGAGGGTCCCCACCAGTCTCCCCGGCGCCTCCCCGCAAACCTAGGGGTTTATTCCCAATCCAAAGACCGAGGCAGGGGAGATCCTGGCCCCCAGGAGTTGAGGGTCACGGCTGATCACAGCCCCGGTGAGTGGATCGGGTGCCTTTGCAGCAGCCGCCTCTGGTGCAGCACCAGGCCTGGAATGAGCGCAGGGGTGTGTGTGGGGGGGTGCAGGGGGACTGAACAGGGTGCGGTGGGGGCCAGGGGAGAGCTCACCCTGGCAGGTGTTCTCCCTCGCGTCCGTGAACTGGGCTTTCCCAGAGCTGGGCTCGTAGCCATCGGTGCAGCTGCAGGAGTAATTCCCAGACACGTTGGTGCAGTTTGCGTGGGGTCCGCAGTCTGCCGGGCTCGGGCCCCGACACTCGTCAATAACTGCAGCACAAGAGGGGACGCTCTGTACGGTCCTGGCAGGGAGACGTTCCCCGTATCACCCCCCCCCCAACCCTCCGCACCGAGCTGGGTGACGGGACGCCAGGGAGAGGATGTGATGCTTTGTTTCTAATTAGCACAGCTCCAGGCATTGTCGTTCCCCATAGAAACAGCCAGTCCCTCTTTAAAACCCAACATATTCACAGCCTCCATGCCCCGGTAGCAGTGAGTTCCAGAGGCTAATGCTGCCCGGGTGGAGGAGGAGTATTTCCTTGTATCTGCTTTGAATTTCCCCCTTTTTCAATTCAATTTAATCCACAGGGCCCCTGGGAGCTTAACAATCACAGGGCCCCTGGGAGCTTAACAATCACAGGCCTGATTCCCAGCTACGCTCCGGCGGCACTGGGCTGCTCTGGCAGCGGAATGGCCACTCGAGAAGCCCCCACCCTGCAAAAGGGGCCACCCCAGCTGGTGTGGAGCTGCGGTCGGGGTCCTGCACCCACCTTGCTCCTAGCCCCTGATGTAGGCGCTGAGGCCGGGGTGCCCAGCACTGCAGCTATTGCCTGCCCCCCAGGACCCATGGGGGAGGATCGGGGGGGTGACTGGGGCACACTGGGCTGTGGCTATTCCCTGCCCCCCAGGACCCAAGGGGGAGGATCGGGGGCGTGGCTGGGGCACACTGGGCTGTGGCTATTCTCTGCCCCCTAGGACCCATGGGGGAGGATCGGGGGCGTGGCTGGGGCACACTGGGCTGTGACTATTCTCTCCTCACCAGGGCCCATAGAAGGCAGAGCGCACTACATGAGGCCCCTTCCCAGCTCAGGGGGACACGAGCAGCCCAGATGCTGCGTGCGGGGGCCAGCGAGGGTCCCCTCCCCTCTCCCCAGCACATCACCGCAGCACAAGGAATTTGCTCTGTGGCTCTGTTTAGTCCCCATCCAAGCACCGGGCACAGGGGTGAGCCCGGCCCCATGCTCTGCAGGAGCAGGCGAGGGTCACGTGTCATCACAGCCTCGCGGACGGCCTCGGGCCACTGCCAAAGCCGGCATCAGCCCCGGTGCGGCACCAGGCCTGCAACGCATTTGTGTGTGCGGGGGGGGGGGGGGGTGTCTCAGCAGCTGGGGGCCAGGGGAGAGCTCACCTTGGCAGGTGTTCTCCCTCGCGTGTGTGAAGTTGGCTTTCCCAGAGCTGGGCTCGTAGCCATCGATGCAGCTGCAGGAGTAACTCCCAGGCACGTTGGTGCAGTTTGCGTGGGGTCCGCAGTCTGCCGGGCTCGGGCCCCGACACTCGTCGATATCTGCAGCACAAGAGGGGATGCTCTGAACAGTCCTGGCAGGGAGACACTCCTGTATCATCCACCTGTACGGAGCTGGGTGATGGGACCCAGGCGACCGGGCCCCTGATTCTCAGCTACGCTCCGGCCGCACTAGGCTGCTCCGGCAGCGGAACGGCCCCTCGAGAATCTGGTGTATTGAAAACTGTGTTAGCATCACAAGCTCTCACTTTACATCTGCAAGGGGCTTTCCCGGAGCTTCTTGCATGCTCGGGGGCTCGGGTGACAAGCAGGTGATCTGGGGTTTCCAGCAGTGTGTCTGCCAAAGAGCCAGCCTAGAGCATAGTGGGGTTAGTTGTGCCTGTTTGCCTTTAGGAGCAGCCTGCTTTGTCTCTCTCTGTTTGGGGTCCTCGTGTGCTAGGGTTCTGGATTCTAAGAATAACCCTGTGTTAAGCTGCAGGCTGCCAGGGAGAGGATGTGATGCTTTGTTTCTAATTAGCACAGCTCCAGGCATTGTCGTTCCCCATAGAAACAGCCAGTCCCTCTTTAAAACCCAACATATTCACAGCCTCCATGCCCCGGTAGCAGTGAGTTCCAGAGGCTAATGCTGCCCGGGTGGAGGAGGAGTATTTCCTTGTATCTGCTTTGAATTTCCCCCTTTTTCAATTCAATTTAATCCACAGGCCGCCCCCTTGCTCACTGGTCTTTCTAAAGCTCGTGATTTTCTAAGCTAATCTGATTTTCTTTTAATGCCTGGGATTGTCGTCACGAGCTCAGCCGTGCACTTAAGACCCACTGGAGCCGAATTAAGTGCGTAGCTGTGCAGGGATGGAGCTAAGCACGTGCTTTGCTGACTCGGGGGCTCAGGGAGCACAGGCAGGGACCAGCACAAAGCGATTTAGCAGCTGGAAGTTCCAGCGTCCCCTGGTGGGACACCAGCATGTGGGTATCCCCTGCCACGGGACTTGCATTGGTGCACGCACCAGCTTCACCAGTGCAAAGGGGTCTCCGAATCCACTGGACTGCGAGCCCAGAAAGACCTCTCGGTCTGTGCCCTGGGCAAACTCCCAGCCCTAGGGGAGCGACGCGGAGCTGGCCAGCCCGTGTGTCCCCGAGCCATGCCGCTGGAAGCCAGGGTGTCTCAGGGAAGACCGGGGCTGGGCTGGCAATGCCAGTCACAGCACATGCCCCCTCACAGCGCTGCCCACGCAGGGAACTTGGGGTCCCTCGAACTAGCAGCTGCACCCCCTAGAGGCCAGAGGAGAGCATGGCTGCCTGCCCCCAGCGGAAGCTCAAGCAATAGGGGGCTGGGGGCGAATTCAAGAAAGCTTTAGCCCAATTCCCAGAGCTGTTCCCGGGGCCACTTCCGAGGCTTGGGGGGACACTAGCCGCTCAGATGCTGCGTGCCGGAGCCAGGAGGGTCCCCTCCCCTCTCCCCAGCGCATCTCTGCAGCACGAGGAGTTTGCTCCGTGGGTCTGTTTCTAACCCCGAGGGTTTATTCCCTGTCCAAGTGCTGGGCACAGGGGTGAGCCCGGCCCCATGCTCTGCGGGAGCAGGTGAGGGCCACGTCTCTTCACAGCCTCGCGGACGGCCTCGGGCCACTGCCAAAGCCAGCAGCAGCCCCGGTGCAGCACCAGGCCTGGAACGAGCATTTGTGTGTGTGAGGGGGGGTCTCAGCAGGTGGGGGCCAGGGGAGAGCTCACCCTGGCAGGTGTTCTCACTCGCGTGTGTGAAGTTGGTTTTCCCAGAGCTGGTTTCGTAGCCATTGGCGCAGGTGCAGAAGTAAGACCCAGCCGTGTTGTAGCAGTTTGTGTTGCCTCCACAGTCTGGTGGGCTCGGCTCCAGACACTCGTTAATATCTGTAATGCAAGAGGGGACGCTCTGTACAGTCCTGGCAGGGAGACGTTCCCTGTATCACACCTCCGAACCCCCTGCACTAAGCTGGGTAATGGGACCCAGGCTCCCGGGGCCCTGAGCGGTTCGTGATTAAGGCCGTGATTCTCAGTTACCCATTTCTGCAGCTGGAATGTCGGAAATAACCCCCCCGAGCCTCCAGTCCCAGGTACGGGGGCGTTCGGCCCCACAAACACCCAGATCCCCCATGTGAGGGGAGGGTGGGGAGACGTCCCCCTGGGGCTCCAGGCTCCCTGTATGTTGTGGGGGGGATGATAAGCTGCCTCTCCTCTGCCCCCTCCCTCCTTGGATCCCTGTGTGGCGGGGGGCAAGGGCAGGGGGGAAGTATAGCCAGGGCTGCCCCGTCCTGCTTCTCTGGACAGGGATCTGTGGGGCCCTTGTGCCCCTGGACACCCAGGGGCTGATTAGGGCCGAGGCTGGGATTTCAGACGGGTCAGTGTGATGGGCCCCCCACCCTGTGCCCAATTCACAGAACCCAAGATTGCTGCTGACTCTGGAGGCCCCCGGTTCGATCCCCAGGAGGGCGGCCCTCACCCGTGCTGCCGCCCCCACTCTTTCCCCGGCTGAGCACCCCCCACAGGCCGTGGAGTTAGTTGCTCTTAATGCCCTGCTCTGTCCCAGCCCCGCAGGACAACGTGGGAGCCCCGTTACCGTCACAGATCTCCGTTACGTCGGTGAAGAAGCGATTCTTTCCTGACCAGTACCCATCCAGGCAGGTGCAGTGGGTGTTGTTTACACACTTGGCGTTTGACGGGCAGAGCACATGGTTGTTGCAGTCCTCAGTGGTACCTGCAGGGGCGGGAACAGCTGGGCAGGGTCAGCCAGTGCAGAGCAGCCCCCTGCCCCCCCCACAGTGGGATCGACTCCTTTCACACGCCCCATTTGCTGATTTTCATCCCTGGGCGCCTGGCAAACAGCTCCGACGCCATCCACCGCCTGGCAACAAGCTGCCCTCAGCTGCACAGGAGGCCTTGGCTCCCCGGGGGTGCCCCTGGCACAGACAGGCAGAGTCGCCGGAGCCGGGCGTCGGTTCAAGTGAAACGTTTTCAATTTCACCCAATTTGTCTCCTTTTTGTTGCTGTCGTCGTTACTCTGATTAGCGTCAATTTCAAACCCAAACCTCGCTTCGAACCGGAAAACGGGAATTTTTCGTTTTGAAAATTATTTCATCTCCTCCCCCCCCATGCATTTTTTCCCGAGTAAAACCAAACATTCCTCCGAACCGAATCGGCCTTGGCTGCAGTGGGGATCTGCCCCTCACTCCAGCCCCCAGTGTGGAGCCCTGGGCCCCAGTGTCTATTCTCTGCTGGCCACGGGGCTGGGATGGGAAGGTGAGGGCTACACAGGGCCCCTTCTCCTCTCCCCTGCACGTACCCACCGTGCTCTATAATCCCACCCGAAGACGCCCACGCCAAGGGGCTGCTCCTGGCTCACCAGACCCCTGACTCTGCTCTCCTTCCACAGGGAAGGGACCGGAGAGGGTGGAGGCCAGAGACCCCGGGCAGCCGGGAGCGCTCGGGAAGGTTAGCCAGGAGGAGTCGGCCTTACCTTGTACGCCATTATTCTGGGCCACGGTGCCCCACAGGCACAGGGCGATGCAGAGCCCTGGAAGGCAAAGAGACAGGGTAAGGCACCGTGGGCAGATGATAACCACCACTCAGCTGCACCCGCCCCCCCAGCCGCCCCAGTCCTGCCAATCCTGGGCCAAGGGCCAGTCGGTGCCCTGACGATGGTGGACTTAAAAATGCAGACACCTGGTGCTCTGGGAAATCAGCCCCAGCTGGGATCCCTGTTAATATTTTTAACTGGTTCCAGTTGGGAACTGGACTTTGGGCCAGGGCAACTGGGTCTTTTATTGTGTGTATTAGCAACAAAGACCAGGAGCCCCCATTGTCAGGGCTGGATTTATACTTAGGGCACCCCTAGGTGTAGGGTCTCAGTGGTGTTCCCCGCCCCCCCAGGCTTGGAGCTCCGGGGGCCCCACTGCCTGGAGGCGGCCAGGAGCGGCAGGGTACCCCTGCTGCCGGGAAGCTCTTAACTGCCACGGGTGGCGGGGGAACCCCACCACTTTTAACTTTTAGGTGCCCTGCCTCCCAGCACCCCCTTGCCCACTGCCCAGCGCCCCCCCACCCCCTCTGCCCAGAGCTGCCCCATGAACTCCCCCAGAGACCCACTCTCCCAAGCCCTGCCCCCCGGCCCACACTCACTGGCCCCTCCGGGAGGTGACGCTGTCTGCCGGGCGGAGCGAGGAGCGCTCCAGCAGCAGGGCTCCGTGGGGCTGTCTCCCCCTCAGCCAGCCCTGCCCCCTGCTGGGACCTGGGAGCAAAAAACTTTGAATTTTTAGGCACCCCATAGAATGCCGGCGCCCCTAGGCCTGTGCCTCCTGTGCCTAATCGGAAATCTGGCCCTGCCCATTGTGCCAGGAGGCGCCCAGAGCCCACCAAAATCAGGGCCCCATTGTGTCAGGTGCTGCACAGAGCTGACCGAGATCAGGGCCACGTCACACTCGGTGCTGCACAGACATACAGTGAGCCAGTCTGTGACCCAAAAGGCTCATGGCAATAGGCAAAGGGAAGAGCATTCTCTCCACTTTACAGACGGGGAAACTGAGGCACGGCAAGGGGTAATGACTTACCCAAGGTCACCCAGTGCATCCACGCAATGGACAAACCCACTTGGAAAGGGAAGCACTGAGGGGCGATGGGGCGAAAAGACAACACAGGCTGCTTTTGATCTGTTTTTCATTCAGGTATCGCCCCAGAACCACCCCCTCGTGCTGGTGTTTATTTATAGCCTGTTGCTCTTAGTCATTAACCACTCACTGATGGAAGAACCACCGAACAGAGGACAGGCAAACAGAGGGAGTTTGCCTGGGAACCCTCCGAGAGGAGCTAAGGTGAGTACTGCATTAGGGGGGCTGTGTTGTGAGCTGGTGGGGTGAATATTCGAGTGTCTGTCTGCTGTGACCATTTGTTTGACCGTGTGCTTGTTTCTTTGAATAGTGTGACTGTTTGACCGTGTGGGTGTTTGATTGAAAAGTGTGAATTGGGTGTACTTTGTTCCAGGTGGGCCTTGAGTCGTTGATTGGAGGGAAGGCTTTGAGCCAGGCCACCTGGTTCGAGCCAGCAGCCTTATAAAAAGGCAGCCAGCAGCGACCTGTGTGAGCAGCGAACCGAGGACAGGCAACCAGAGGGAGTTCGCCTGGGAGTTCGCACAGAGTGTTTTTGCCTTTCAGGCTCCTCTGAGCAGTACATACAACATCTGAGGAGCCTCTAATAAGGAAGACATGGATAGTGAGCGATCAGCTGTTGTGACCTGCTCAGAATGTGCCATGTTTGTCTTTTCCCAGAGGACAGAAGCAACTTCGTCTGTATGAAGTACAAGCTGGTCTGCATATTGGAAGAGAAGCTTAAAGGACTAGAGAACCAATTATCAATCCTGCGTTGCATCAGAGAACACGAAGATTTTCCGGATAGAAGTCAGTGTTTGGTGCTGGACGCACGAGAGAGTGCAGTGCAGAACGGGAAAGAATATGACCTCCAGAAGAAGAAAGAAGAGAACCTATGTACCCCCAGTGCACATAGAGGTGCGTAACTGTTTTCAGGCTCTCTGCACAGGTACTACTGTGGAGAAGGATTTGGAAGAGCCCTCTGAGGGAAGGGATCAGAAGGAGACCCCGTCGGCCGGAAGGCATGGGATGCATTGCCCTAGGGATGGGGGTTCCATGACCACCACTCCCAAAAAGAGGAGACGGGTGGTGATGGTCGGGGAAGAAGGATAAAGGAGTTTGAGGCACAAGTCATGTTCTCTCCCTGTCAGGGTTCCCTCCCCACTCTGAACTCTAGGGTACAGATGTGGGGACCCACATGAAACCCCCCTAAGCTTATATTTACCAGCTCAGGTTAAAAACTTTCTCAAGTTTTCTCAAACAAAAATTTCACCTTGTTCTTGAACAGTACGCTGCCACCACCAAGTGATTTAGACAAAGAACAGGGAAAGGACCACTTGGAGTTCCTATTTCCCCAAAATATCCCCCCAAGCCCTTACACCCCCTTTCCTGGGGAGGCTTGAGAATAAACAAGATGAGCACAAACCAGCCTTGGAATTTTAAGACCCAAAAAGCCCAATCAGATTCTTAAAAAACAGAACTTTATTAGAAGAACAAAAAAAGATAAGAGAACAACTCCGTAAGATCAGAATGGAAGAAAATCTTACAGGCAGCCAGATTCAAAACATAGAGAATCCCTCTAGACAAAACCTTAAGTTACAAAAAGACACAAAAACAGGCATACACATTTCCTCCAGCACAGCGAATTTCACAAGCCAAAACAAAGAAAACCTAATGCATTTCCTAGCTAGATTACTTACTAACTTTACAGGAGTTGGAGGGCTTGCATCCTTGATGTGTTCCCAGCAAAGGTATCACACAGACAGACAAAAGCCTTTTCCCCCCACTCCAGATTTGAAAATATCTTGTCCCCTCATTGGTCAATTTGGGTCAGGTGCCAGCCAGGTAACCTGAGCTTCTTAACCCTTTACAGGTAAAAGGACCTTGCCTCTGGCCAGGAGGGATTTTATAGCACTGTATTCAGAAAGGTGATTACCCTTCCCTTTATATTTATGACAAATCCATCCTCCCTGTTGAAGGAAAAGGCCCAGGTAGGGACTGTCGAATTGTGGAGGTGAATGTGTGGTTACGCAGGTGGTGTCGGAAAGAAGACTTTGGATTCTTCGATCATGGGATGTTGTTCTCGGAAGAAGGATTGCTAGGAAGAGATGGGATCCACCTAACGAAGAGAGGGAAGAGAATCTTCGCAGGCAGGCTTGCTAACCTAGTGAGGAGGGCTTTAAACTACGTTCGCCGGGGGATGGTGACCTAAGCCCAGAGGTAAGTGGGGAAGTGGGATACCGGGAGGAAACACAAGGAGGAGGGTACAAGATGGGAAGCCTCCTGATTCTTACTGAGAAAGTAGGGCAATTGGCTAGTTATCTTAGGTGCATGTACACGAATGCAAGAAGCCTGGGAAGTAAGCAGGAAGAATTGGAAGTCCTGGCACAATCAAGGAACTATGATGTGACTGGAATAACAGAAACTTGGTGGGGCAGTTCACATGACTGGAGCACTGTCATGGATGGGTATAAACTGTTCAGGAAGGACAGGTGTGGGAGGAAAGGTGGAGGTGTTGCGCTGTATGTAAGAGAGCGGTATGATTGCTCTGAGCTCCAGTATGAAACTGGAGAAAATCCAGTTGAGAGTCTTTGGGTTAAGTTTAGAGGCAAGAGCAACAAGGGTGATGTCGTGGTGGGCGTGTGCTATGCACCACAGGACCAGGGGGATGAGGTGGACGAGGCTTTCTTTGGAAAACTAACGGAAGTTTCCAGATCACAGGCCCTGGTTCTAATGGGGGCCTTCAATCCCCCTGACATCTGCTGGGAGAGCAATAAGCAGTGCACAGACAATCCAGGAAGTTTTTGGAAAGTGTTGGAGACAACTTCCTGGTACAAGTGCTGGAGGAGCCAACTGGGGGCTGTGCTCCTCTTGACCTGCTGCTTACAAACAGGGAAGAATTGGTAGGGGAAGTAGAAGTGGGTGGCAACCTAGGCAGCAGTGACCATGAGATGGTTGAGGTCAGGATCCTGACAAAAGGAAGAAAGGACAGTATCAAAATACAGACCCTGGTCTTCAGAAAAGCAGACTTGGACTCCCTTAGGGAACTGATGGGCAGGATCCCTTGGGAGGCTACTATGAGGGGGAAAGGAGTTCAGGAGAGCTGGTTGTATTTTAAAGAAGCCTTATTGAGGGTGCAGGAGCAAACCATCCCGATGTGCAGAAAGAATAGCAAATATGGCAGGCGACCAGCTTGGCTTAACAATGAAATCTTCGGGGAGTTTACCTCAAGAAGGAAGCTTACAAGAAGTGGAAATTTGGACAGATGACTAGAGAGGAGTATAAAAATATTGCTGGATCATGCAGGGGTATAATCAGGAAGGCCAAGGCACAATTGGAGTTGCAGCTAGCAAGGCATGTGAAGGGTAATAAGAAGGGTTTCTACAGGTATGCTAGCAACAAGAAGAAGGTCAGGGAAAATGTGGGACCCTTACTGAATGGGGGAGGCAACCTAGTGACAGATGATGTGGAAAAAGCTGAAGTACTCAATGCTTTTTTTGCCTCGGTCTTCACAGAAGGTCAACTCCCAGACTGCTGCACTGGACAGCACAGTATGGGGAGGAGGTGAGCAGCCCTCAGTGGTGAAAGAACAGGTGAAGGACTATTTAGAAAAGCTGGACATGCACAAGTCCATGGATCCAGATCTAATGCATCTAAGGGTGCTGAGGGAGTTGGCTGATGTGATTGCAGTCATTGGCCATTATCTTTGAAAAATCATGGTGATCAGGGGAGGTCCCAGATGATTGGAAAAAGGCTAATGTAGTGCCCATCTTTAAAAAAGGGAAGAAAGAGAACCCAGGGAAATACAGACCGATCAGCCTCACCTCAGTCCCTAACAAAATCATGGAGCAGGTCCTCAAGGAATCCATTTAAAAGCACTTGGAGGAGAGGAAGGTGATCAGGAAGAGTCAATATGGATTCACCAAGGGCAAGTCAT